TCAAATTTTTATCCAAATATTCCATTCTAAACTCATATTAAAACTACAATCACCAATTAACTCAGTCAACGAAAAGTATTTATAAAGTTTTTATAAAAAAAATGTTTTTTGACAGTTTTCGGTACGATAAATTTATGTTAACTTGTAAACGTATCTGAAACCACAGTATTACAGCCGATTAGCAAATATTTTGACCATTTCGCAGGACAGAACAACCTTTTTCCTATCAACATGTCAGTGATGATTAAGCCAGCGACGTGAAACCTTACCAGGTAATATTGCTCCCAACTACTAGCGCATGCGTATGCTCATATTTGATAAATGGGCTGCAGACCGCCGGACATGCAGGCGACTGAATGAACTAAATGAATAACCGATACTCGAGCGAACGAGAGCGCGTCGGCGAACGCGCTCGCATGAATGAGGAAGCGGGTCCTCCAACGTGCGTGGGGCAGGTGCTGCCCAAATCGAATGAAGCGGCGCAACAGACGAATCTGCTTTCTCACTATTCGCCGCCTATGTCTGTGTTATTAAACCTCTGGATGGACGTGACACAATCTCTGGTAGAGGTGCGCAGGCTGTCAACATTCGGAAATCCACTTCGTGGGTCGTGGTTGCAATTCTCAAGCTGATGTTGCCAGCCGTAAACGACGTTGCAAGCGCATTCTCGTTGGGCTAAGTGTAGATTGATTGCTGATATTTTCTAACTCTTTCGTAGGCGAAAAGAAAACATTTTAAGTTCATGAATGAAATGTTGCAAAAGCAAAAATTAAATACACCGTTTTTACGAATAAAAAAACTAAATGTTCTATAAAAGATAAGAAAATTGAATATCCGAAATTACTAACAAGCAAATTTCATGCTTTCAAAAATAAAATTTAAAAGATCCCCTCAGCTTATAACTGCAGTGATAAGGGTCCAAGTGTCACAAAATAATTCATAATTCATAGAATAGACTCCTAAGCAAAAAATAAACAAAATTACTTCTGCAAATGGTTCCTTCACATTAAAATAATAGCAATTACGTGGAAATTAAGTGTTTATTTTCTGAGCGTTTTAATTGTAATCTCGCAAACTATTCTTACTGCACAGCAAGCAGGTCATTGTCCTTAATTAGATAGTTAATATTATTCATCGATATCTACTTAATATTTTATCTAAGATTGAAATTAAATTTTCAAAAGAGATCGTATTTTGCGTAAATTATCTGTTTGCAACAGGTTTTTATTTGTTTGGAAAGTACAAAACTCTAGAACGTATTTGCTGAGAAAAGAATATTGTGATATTGCTTCTCCATGTAAATTGCAATTAAGGTATTCGAGATGTATTACACTGAATTAGGGGCTCCTAGAGGCAATTTTCCATTGTCTTCGTTTTTCAATTTAGTAATTTGTTTAAACGTACAGAAACAATACAGATCATTGTGGTCCATTGGAAATAATAAAATTACGGAAGTTAAAAATAACGAAAAACTCCGTCAAACCACCAATTTTAATAATGGCTTTAATATCAGTTCTTAATATTTATTTTGATTGTTATAAAATGGTAAGTCAATTAAACAAAATTAATTTTCATTTCTCGAAGCTAGTTTCAGACACACAATAAATACAAATACACAATAAGTACCTTTCCATTTATCAGTATAATTCTCTTTAGCTGGTTAGATTAAATGTACTTAATGATATTTTGATCTCTAATATTTTTTTAATATCTTTGATACGTTAAAGTTTTTTTTCTTTTTAATTCTGTTCATCATTTTATTCAGAAAAATACAATTATTGTTAAATTAGAAACAATTTTGATAAATTTTAATGAAACTTCAGTTCTGTTTCTGATCTTAAACAAACAATGAAAGAACGTGTTGAACGTGTCTTGGAAACGTAACAGGGTATGTGATTTGAAGGTCCCATGAGTCGAGATCGCTTAAATTGCCGCATGTAAGAGCGAACATAAACTGACTAGGGCCGAGATGTGGGAGTGGACAGCCGCGGTGAAAGCTGCGTGGGAGAATTAAGCGGCGTGCTTAACTGTGAGTGAGGGGCGATTAACACGTACGCTGCGAGTGGGCGAGGCCCACGGGCGATTGGGTGGGCGAGGAGCGCGACAAGAGCCATAATCACAGCTCTTTTTTCCACATCCAGTTACAGTAGATTATGAAAATGGAATATTTCACGTGCCATATTTCAAATAAAATATTTCGTTGCCTCTGAGTTACGTTGGTTAGCTGCAAATCAGTAAATGGTAGGTTTTTACTTTGACGCTTACAAATGTATGCTCTTTTATAAGAATTCTTCCGGTTTGGTGGTGTGTGGTGGAGCTCGTACTCGCACTTAATGTTCTACCAGGAGGGATGTATTCCCTGGATCTAGTCGTTAGTCTCTATCCTCACCCCCATAACCGCACGCATACACCGATGCATGGTATCTGAGTCCTGCCAGAACACAGTTTACCCTCTCAGTAACCTCCCCATACATCGCCTGGACCGGGCCACCCTGCCACGTCAGAGTTCCTAGTTACTCAGGCTACTAGTCGCAACAACGCATCAATCACATGCGCCATGAGTCCCTCCCCCTGGCCTTGAGAATCGGGCCATTGCCACGACGAAGCTAAGAGGCCATCAGGCGGCCACGAAGGTTCGAGCGACTCAGGGACCCTTACCGTCTTCTCACTGCCTCCACCTTAAAGCTATCGACGTGCGTACCGTCGGAACATAGGCAACCTGACAGAGGTCATTGTTTTCGTCTGGTCTTGTATATCCGGGATCGGGGGTATTCCGAAGAAGGTCCTTCCCCCAATCCCGACCAAAGATTGAAGCGCTAGGGGCCCAGCAACACGGCGCTTAGCATCGCCTACTTACAGCCTCCACCTTGAAGCTAACGACGTGAGTACCGCCGGAACCTAGGCAACCTGACAGAGGGGTCATTGTTCTCGTCCTCACTTGTATCCGGGATCAGGGGTATTCCTAAGTACTTATTCTCCCAATCCCGCCCAAAAGTCGGCATCTAGAGGCCACACTGGTGGGTCGCCGGGCATTACCCAACAACACGGCGCTTAGCAACCTCTACTTACAGCCTCCACCTTGAAGCTAACGACGTGAGTGCTGCCGTGAAAGGGACCGAGTGGTCGCCAACAACTCTCCACTCCAGCCTACGCGGTCATGATCCCCCCTGTGGGAATCGCCACGCCCCCCCTCCCGTTTTGGCGGTACCCTTCAAAGATCTCTCGTGGTCAGTATCACTTCCCTGGGAACACTCCCCAGGGAGGACTCCCTCGTACTCCCCAAACGTCAGAACTAGGTTGCCCCTAGACCAATCTTAGAGCTGTTGAGTTTTAAAGCTTCTATCGCAATTAACCCGGCCTCAGGAAATAAATAGGCGTAAACGGGAGCGGTTGCGTGATTAAATTTTTCCTCGCATACAAATATATAACTAATTCACTTTTTAAACATCCTTGTGCACCTTTTTTTACATTAATGCTTCCTCTGTTTATTTACATAAGATAGTGACAGTGATTTGATAACTAAAGAATTCACTTGAGAATAATTCGTCTTTTAAGCGCAAATTGCCTGTTAAAAGTGTTTAAAATGAACAAAAATTGTTCTACAACATTATTTCCTGCGTTCTCGAGATTTTATTGTCATGTTTGAGGGAGATAAACTATTTTTTTTGCATATTGCCTAATGTTTTAATGATACACAGCCCAAAAATATTGTTCTAATAGAACGTCTCCATATGCGATACAATATTAAAATCAGACCACGTCACCATAAAATGTAGTGCTATTCGCAAGATATTTGGCGGAACAAATCATTAGTTGTAATCAGTAATTAGTAGAAATAATTGCAACTTACTCAAAATTTGAATAATAGTGGATCCTTCACTGTCTCCGTAATATTAACAGTGGTCTAATGACTCGCGAGCTCCATTTTTATAACCTATGACTGATAGTGAAAGAAATTTGGAAATGAAAATAAAACTTAAATTAAAAGTGTTCTACCATTACTTAAAACGAGTTATTTATATGGACGTTTGATTTCATCGCGTTATTTTGACGTGTTATCTCTAGTAAAAATACAAGAGAAATTGTATGGCTATAGAATCTGAATTAAATGTATTAATTAAGCTATTACCATCCTCATACTATGTGTTGCGAAGCAAATGTCTTCATGTTCCGTAAGAACTTGTATGACGTCATCTTGCATTTGTCTCTGAGATCCAATTAATTTTAAAATATATACAAAAAATCAATGCGACATGTGATAGTTAATTTATGAATCAATTAGTTCATCACTAAAAACAAAAATAAAAGTTTACGTGAATGAATAACAATTTGACTAAATGAGTGAAGTGAGAGTAAATAAATAAATGAATGTAATAAGTGCTGTAGAATATGTTTTCGGATGTAGAAAATGAAATCTGAGGTGTAGTCTCATCAAAGTTCTATATTTGTGGGAAAAGCTTTTTCTCCCGCATTGCGGCCATCTTCAGCACATTCTATGGCCCCCTTTACCTCGTAGAGGAACCTTTTTCTGGACACGATCAGTAGATATGTCACTTCTTGACACATTTGCTCCTCGTGTCCTTTCGGATCTCACAAAAGCGCAACAGAAGCGTAGTTCGCTGGTCGTCCAGTGGCACTATATTCCGATTAAAACGGAGTGTCCCTTCAAGGTCAGAAGCTGGCAGGAGAGAGGGAAACTGTCCTCCAATCGTGAGCTTCGTTCAATGTTCAGTATTGAAGCTTCCAATTTAATGGCAGTTTCCCCCTCTCTTTTCAGCTCGTAACCTTGAAACGACACACTATTTTAATCGAAGTTGTACTGTGGCGGTCTCCCAATGGCCGAGGTAGCCTGATTCAGCCGCTACCTGGCTGCCAGCCGCCACACATGCTTTATAAATGCTGTATTAAAAAGCAATGACCCTAAGGTTTCGTTTTCTAACAGCGCGAACTGCCATCTTTGACTTTCTCGTGACTCACGTGCGCTGCTTGTGTGTGCGTAGGTATGCGCATCCTGGTGATGCTGCTACTGGACACGCTGCCCATGCTGGGCAACGTGCTGCTACTGTGCTTCTTCGTCTTCTTCATCTTCGGCATCGTGGGCGTGCAGCTGTGGCAGGGCATCCTGCGCCAGCGCTGCTTCATGCTGAAGCGGCCAGACGTCCGATACCCTGAGTGAGTGCGGCCGACGCCACGCCGCTGCGACTAGCGCCCCGCCCCCCCCTCTGTGGCCCCCTTCCTCGGCGCGGCGCGTTGTGCCCCGTGCCCCGCCCCCTCGTGAGCCTTGTTTCGATGTTCCCCCGATGTGGTGCGCGCTTGGCACGTTTTGGGGGCGCGCGTGCACACCGTTTACGTCAAAGCGTCTTTTCGCACAAGCGCTTCGCAATGGATTTCATGCCTCAGTCGACGTACTAGTTACGACAGGAGAGAATTTGTAATCAAAAACATGACGAAATTGATTACAAGCTAACTTTGTAAATTACAGATGAAAACAAAATTCATTTTTTAAACATTTTGTTTATTAATATATATGTTATTATTTCCTCAATATAATTCTTTAGCTTTGGTTCAAAAATGTAATATTCAAAACACTTGAAGCACATAAATTTCCGTTTGATAACCCAAATTAAATAGTTCATGTTTGTTTAACTAAATCAAATGCTAACTAAAATATTGGTATTTTTATGTATTAATGCTAGAAAATACTCACTTAAACATCAAACTTAAAAAATAAAAAATTAATACGTATGTAATTGTTAACTGTTAATTGTTTTCCATCTCAACTAACGTCGATTCAGAAAATATTAAGATACATAGTTAAAAACCTGATAAACTACGTTAAACGTTGATTTATGTGCCTCAAAAGCTCAACAGTGGCGTGGAATCATGTGAAGGGCTTTCGTTATAAGCGTGCTTCGCTTACAATTTGTTGGCGCTTGCTGTTTCATACACCCACCATTTTGTCAATTACAAAATTTATTTGTGCTTATTACTCTTTTGTTAATTTTTCAACTTTAAGTGGCTCACTTCTTCAGCAATGAACACGATCTTTCTCTGTAATTGAACAAAAATTATATCAAAATATAGATGAAGTTAAGTTTCTATTCACTGTTTAAAAATTTAAAACAAATAATTACTTAAATCGGTTTCAATGGTTAATCAGTTCAAACATGTTAATTGATAAAAATAATTAACTCAGTAAATTATTTTGCATTTCATTACCTAATAAATGGAATATCTCTTAATTTTCTTTTCCCCCTTTCTGTGTTAATGGCAGCAACTCAATTTCCATGATTTGCTCCGAAATATAATTTCAAATTGAGATTGAAAGAAACCAATAAACGGAGTTTCATTCAAATTTTTATCTCATTGTCTATTGTTTATATATCCTATTCAATTATAACGAAAGAATACCCTTTAATATCCACGATTTGCTTCCTGCAATAAAACCAGTTTTACATAGACCCACACCTATACCATGTAGTTAGAGAATAATTCGATTCTAGAACGTTGCCAGCAGAGCTGCCTGCATTTGGAAGGTGAAATTAAGTAGGCCGCTGAATCTGCAGAAGAGAAGGTTGAGTTCTTCTGCTTTCATACTTGTGTGCCTCTGTAACCCCCACTGAAAAGTGGGTAAGCAGACGATAATTGGTTTATTCAAATTTTCTTTATTCATTTTGTGTAAAACGTTCCCTCTCTACCCCCTTCTCCAATACCCGCTATCTGAGCTCTCCGGCCCAAACGTCCCCGGTCCATTTATTGTCTCCCTCCCCTCTCCCCCCCACCCAGCCCACCGCCCGCCGCTACCCCGCTCTCCGCCCCTTTGCCACTCCCACCCCTACGGCGCGGCGCCAACCCCGCCCGCCCTGCGCGGATCGCTCCGCTCTTCCCCACCCCAACCCCACTCACAACCCGTTGGTTCACTTTGGTATCGAACTTCCCACTCGCAGACATACCCTTCCTATGACTCTCCTTACACATCCCTTATTCTTACGACAATTTCCGCACCGGCTTCTATCGATAAATTATTGCTTCCGACCTCATCTGCTGTTCCATACGCCATTTACATTTCTATATGCATCACCGATTATTCCTTTTATTTCCTTACCAAGCTTCTTATGCTTTCCAACACATCTCATTTCTGCGTTTTCTTTCCCCCCTATTCATACATGTTGCTTATGACAATTTTTCAACATTCTCCCATGCATTCATGCATTGACCTTTCCGTAGTTTTTAGTAACCTTGGGGTCCATTGTTAATATTCCTGCGACCATCACATTTTCCCACATGTATTGTTCGACTGCATTCCATCCCCATACACTGACATTATGCTCTTTCATTGACAGCTCTCAATATAGTTTCCTCATCTTAATGTAAACATTATACTTCGAATTGTATTTAGTATCATTAAAACTCATTATTGTCTTTTTTTGTTGTTTTTGTACACCATCTACCCTAATTGCATTGGTATGATCCTTATTTTTAGCGTCCCTAGGTCTTATATTATTCGACCCATTCGAATACTCCTCTCCATTTCATTAAACCTTACTTAACCTCTTTTTCACAGAATCTTTCTCCTCTCCCCATAAGAACTTTCTTCATACTATTCCGTCTCTTCTCTGTCTTCCTTGTTTCATATAAGTTTCTTCACTCCAACTATGCCTATTTACCTTATCAATCATTCCATATACTGTACGTTCCTGTCCGAGCTCTTCCATCTGTGATGTCTCAGGGGCAACATAGTTGCATCTGCAGCATCGTTGACTGGGAGAATCTAGGATTCTAGTTCCACAGTGGTGGACTTTCGACACTAGCTACAATGCTGGATTGAATTAAACCACTGTTTGGAGTAGAATTCTAGCGACCGGCTGCTCTGATCGGTAATTTGCCATGTTCTTCCCGATCAATATCAGGCTAATGCCGGAACAGTACCGTAACAAATGAGCTGCGGACCGCGCGCGATCTTTCTTTCCTCACACCTTTTCTAACGTACACACACAGACATAACACACACACTTCATTTCCATGCACTACACTAGATAGACTTACATGCACTTAAACTTTACTACTTACTCATACAACTTACACTTAAATGCACTACATAGCAACCTACGCTTCCATGCACAATCATCCAACATTCCGGGAGATCTGTCGGAGACTTAGAACTTGTCCCGACTGACGCGGTGCCCCTCTGTAGAAAACACCTGGAAGGGAAAACCTTGAAAACGTGTAACACGGCGCCGGAACTCATGTTGAAACGGGGGAAGACACCACTCCTCTCGCGATACAGCATGCACTACACTTATGGGACTAGTCACCTAGAGAGTGGATGGGACTGAAATCAAAAACTTACTTCCTCACTCACTTTTTCGGCCTCTGTTCTCATCATTCGTTTTTTTCTCCCGTTCATTTTCAATCCCATTGATTTGCACCCAGCACCCCAAATGCTTCCCCCTCCTGGCGGCCACCGCCCGCCCCCTTCCACGCCGATGTGTGTCTGTTGCAGGGATTTCAACGAAGTGTACACGATTCGCTCGCGAGTCACTCTGTAAGCAGGCCACGGCCCGCCCGCCCGCGCGCTGTCTCACTGGCCCGCCCGCTCACC